TCACCCAATTTGATTGGTTAATTTATGTAGATCACCCAAATAAGGAAATTGAAAAATGGGTCGGTAAAATTGGTCCAACAAACGTAAGGCGTCGTGCAACGTTACTCAACGATTTAGAAGCGGGAACGATTTGGCAGTCTAGGCTATAATTGAGTATCGTTATAAAGGGTAATTCGGCAGACTTAAAGAGCGTTATATTTTTGTTACACTTATAGTGTCTTTATTTTTAATTTATTGTGTGGAAGCAACTTGACAAGAGGAATTCAGACTTTTATTTATAACAAATTACAGGGCAAAAAAGAACAAAATCGAAAGTTTCTCCTTTCTTTTGTCATTACAGTTATATCCCTTTTTTTCCAGAGCATTTTTGGTGATATAACTAAGTTAGGGATATAACTCAATATATAAAAACATATAAAAAAGAGAATATTTATCCTGCTTAAATATGGGGATATAACTCAGGTATGACTATATACCCCATTGAACTCAAGCCATATGACCCTTTTCTGGTCTAATGCCCTACTCCTTACACACACAGCCTTTACTATTAAAACATTCCACGTAAGAAAAAAGAAGGCGAGTTGAATGAAGGTTTCTACGCCATCATTATTGCGGCATCGTTCCTTACTCATTGACTCATTGAATCATTCATTGACTCATTCATTGAATCATTCATTGACTCATTCATTGAATCATTCATTGACTCATTCATTGAATCATTCATTGACTCATTCACATTTCTTTTTCCACGGCCACACACTTAACCCGTCAAGGTAATATTACCTTGACAGCTGTCAATCTAATCGTGCATGGGGCTTGGCTTTCACAAGATCGACGTTAGTGTTTTGAATGGAGGGCCTGGCTTCAACAGGTTTGTCGTCATTCGATTATTGTGGGTCCCGGGCATTGTTGTACGACGGTTCTTTGCGTAACGTTCGTGCGTTAATTTTTTCAAGGTCTTGGGGGCCATAACAATGTACAAGTCACGAGAGAATCGTGTCGGAGGTTTAATAAAATTATTCATTTTTATATTTCGGAGATTTTTAAATTGCACAAAACCCTGATTTAATTAAAGAAAATTCGATAGAAAATTTCTATGATAGATATGCATACTATATAGTATAATTTGTAAAATCCGTGTATAAAAAAATTAACTGTCAGAGAACAAAAATTAATTTGATTAAAATTAGGTTAAGGTTTAAGGTTTGGGTATAATTTATACTAAAATTTCACGTAAATTTTTTTTATTAAAAACCCAAAGTAGTTTTATTAAGTTATAATATGTACCCGTATTTCATACACTAGTGCACAAATAGAAACTCAATTCATTATTAATGATGATTTATCGTGATTATACTATAACATGCCTTTAAAATGTGTCTGCTGTAATACTATAGATTAATGTATAATTAGCAGAAGACCTCCGTCTACAAATTTAAAATTATAATGTGCTCTTAAAAACAGCAAAAGTATTTTATTAAAATTTTACGGATAGACGCATCGTAGAATAACCGCAATTATTAATGCTAGTTTTGATATTTTAATTGAATTTTATAATTATACATTTATAAGTTTATAGTGTGTTGGTCTTGTTTAAACAAATTGTCTATAATTAAACTGTTAGAAATCACAATAACTTTTGGAATCTATTGTATTTAATAGTTTAATGTGGCTGGTTTAATGGGTATAAGTTCATTTCATCGAAAACTATTTCTTCGAGATGTCATTTACACGTTATCACAAGGGGTGACAATTTAGTATTTATTAGTCGAAAGTATATCTTTTTAGCAAGTTGTTACCCTGTGTGATGCCGAGTAAATGACATGCCGGGGAGATAGTTTTCGGGAAATGAGGCGTAACCGTTTAATGTGGCAGTAAAGTTTGGGATTAAGTAATTATGTGATGTCCGTTTTAGAAAGACTCTATAGCAACAAATTTGCAATAAAGATCCAAGCAGATTTAATAATGATCATTTTTCATATAAAAAAAGATACTCGGAGAACAAGTGCATTGAACGCCTGTAAAACATCATGGAGGGCAAAAAATAATAGTTTTTCCTCTCTAAATTTTTATGTTCACGATTATGCAATACTATATATACAATTTTTTTACTCTTTAATTATACTGCTTTGTCTATTTGATTATATTATTACGAGCTTTTATTAGATTAAATAATAATTTCACAAGTAAACATTTCGCAATTAAACATTATACTTAAACAATTTCCTAAATATTCTATTCTATAAAGACATTGCATTAGCAATTACAATTGATTTATCTATTTAGATACGGGCATTGAAATTTCAATGTGCAAACTTGGGCTTCCACGGTTCGTGTGACGTTGGTTCACCACCATCAAGACGTTTTTGTGTAAATCGGGCGTTGTATTTCAATACATACTTTAAGGATTTAAATTGGGCTGGACTAATACTTCGGACATCTGGAGAAACAAACCAACGAACACCTTCGGTACATGGTGGTGTGGTTAAGCTACCGTCATAACTATAAACCTTTTGGAATTAAACAGAACATCATTAATAAAGTATCATGAAAATTTAAACAAAAGTTCATCACTGGGCATAAATACATACAGTTTTAATCTCTTTAAATATTTGTTCAGTTAATGATATTGTTATATTAACATGTTCATGGGGCTCTAACGGTTTCTATTTTAAATTTTGGTAAGTATTTTTGAGAAGAGAAAATATTCATACTGTAATAGTCATTAAGTTTTTACATACTTTATTGATTATCTCTACAATAGGATTCAAACCAGGATCTTCACATTCACCAAGGTCAAAAAAGACCCCTAGAACGGCAAGTTTTGCATCTGAGGTTCTGAAAACCCAATGCCCTTCCATTAACAAATCTCTGCCTTCAATATGATGTTCTGATGGCATATGGAAATGATACTGAAGAAGATAATATGTTTCACCATCAACTTTCAATGTTGCATCTTCGTACAATGCTGGTTTATCAATAGTACCTTCAGAACGCTGAACTTGATAAGTATGACCATTATTTAAAAGAATTAAATCGGTTTTTTTGATTACGTCTAACGTAATTTTAGTAGGATGAGTAAAATCTTCATCCTTAAGATCTATAGGAGTTTGCTGTTTGATGCCTTTACAGGTTGCATAGGTTTCATTAAGTTGGTACCAATGGGCAGGACCGTTCGAACCAAGGTATCCCCATTCAGATTTTTCTTCGCGTGGACTAAGTACGTACGAGGAGACAAATGATAAACCGATGATTAAAAAAGTAGGAATTGTAATAGGTAAAAAGAATTTCATTTTATTTTACAAAGAAAAAAAGGATTTATTATTTTACAAAAAGAAATGATTTGAAATTTTGAATTTATTATTTCACAAAAAGAAAGGATTTAATGTGTATTTAAATATTTTCTGATCAAGACTTTTGTAAGATCAGATAATATCCTGAGTGCATACAATCATTTAATCAGAATAAAGACGAGTATGACGAAACGTCTCAAAAAAGGAGACTGGAGAACTCATTGATAACGTAACTAGGGGGCTTAAATTTGAGATAGATGGTGCAACAACTTTTTCAAATTATTTTGCATAGAATAAAATCCGAATCATTTTTTACGCAATAAAATCTTGCAGTATAGCTCATGGAATTGTATTTTCTTATGCTTTATTATCCCTTTAACAGATAATTTTTGATCAAAAATGTTTTTGATTGTACAACTCATATAAACAATGCATATGGGGATTTAATGTGAGTGATTAAGTTAAATAAAATTTGTGCCAATCGTTTACATGATTATTGAGAATAAAAGTGATTTTTGGATCAGAGATTGTAAGCCCGATAATGAATTGCTTATGAATCGTTTATGAATTTTACTCATAAATTTGTACCTGATTATAATCTGATGCTTATAAATTTTTGTACGTATGTACCTAATTTTGACCTATATAATTACTTATAAATTTTATACATATGTACGTACGTACCTGATTAAAATTTTTTGTACGTATGTGCCTGATTGTAACCTGATTACTTACAAATTTTTTGTACGTATGTACTTGGTTGTAACCTAATCACTTATCAATTTTTGTTATATGTACATAATATCAACCAATTTTTAATAATCACTGTGTTTCAACTGTACCCCCATAATATTACTAGATACTGCTAATGTCTGAAGCTAATAATTTGTGCAATATTGAATGTAGTTTTGTTGGGCTGATCCATGTTGATTTATATAGTTTGATTGTCAATTGCTCTACTATAAGGTTCTCGCTACGCTACGAACTTTTACGATCAGACTACTTGCAAAGTGCTTTAGCCAATACCACTTTAACTATTTCTAATGGTGCCTCACCCTTTATTTTCTTTTAGATTGGTGGAATAGCCCATGTAAAAGTCAAATTATTAGCTATTACCAAGCGTGCCATTTACACCTGTCGGATTAAAACTGATCAATTTAAAATTTCATTGACAAATTCTAAACATCTCATCTAACACGTCTGTATTCTCTTATGCTTTATCATTGATTTTGTTAAATTTTCTCCTATTTGTAGCACTCAACCCATTTATTTTCGTGGTAAAATTGGAATTCTCTAAAAAAAGAAGACTAGATTACTCATTGAGGATGCTTGAATTTATATTTTGTGATGTTTAACAACAGATTTCTCTTTAGAAAACTGCTCGGAATTCTATATAGAACATCGCAAATCCAAATACTGTGTATGCATAACCTCTACAGATGTCACATCTGCACTTAACGTTTATGAGGTCTGACCGCATTTGGAAACTTAAAAAACTTCAAATTTCTGTCATGACGATCTTTATGCATATACCCTACGTCGATGCCACTTTTTCTGGTAACGCTGAATATTTTATTTTATCTTTTTTGTAATTTAGCATAATTTATGTTTATTGATGAATGACTATTGATCAAATCGATAGAAAATTAATAGAGTAATAATTTATTACACTATTACCTTTTTATTTCAATTTATTTAAAACAAAAAATTGTTTGGGTAACAGCTGAATATGGGAGTTTTTTTTGCTATATCAAATTTAGTACGTATAATTAATGTTGAATAATGACTATTGAGCAGCAAACCTAGCCTCGCCCACGAAAACATGTAGCTGATGTTATAAATTTATCATATGATAGCACTCATCGCATGAATTATCAGTCAAAAGTTATTCTAGCAATAATGCAAGTAATAATCTATTAAAATTTTAAAAAATAAATGAGTGAAAAAAAGGAAAACAATAGACATCTTGAAAAAGTGCCGTAATAAAAAGAAAAGATCAAATACAAGTCCAAGAAACTAAACACAGATATGAATCGACTATATATTTTGTTAAAAATATTTATCGTTATCATTCTTTAGTTAAAAAATACAAATTATTTTAATGTTATTGTGTTATCACCAAAGTTTTAATTATGACGTAGTTACATTTTTTTTTTTTTTTTTTTTGTGGACGACGCTAGGTTTGCTACTATAGAGCGATCAAATCGATAAGAAATTTAATACATAGGGTAAATAATTTACGTATTACAATATTAACTTTTTTATTATAAACAAAATTGAGTTATTTTAAATTAAATTGTTTTGGTAACAACTAAATACGATTTCTTTTTGCGATATCAAATTTACCGTATTTTCCCAACATGTGTACCCATGGTATTTCTCTAGCCCATTTTAGCACCCGGAGTACGCATGTATGAGAACTTTTATGTTTTTGATATGTTTTACTATTATATGCCCGGGTACATAAGTATGATACACCCGTACTTATTACCCGGATATAAATAATTTGGCACTCTACAATTGCTGCAGAGTATAGCCCATGGGGGCGTATACATGTTGGGAAAATACGGTAATAATTTACGTTGATTAATGCATAACTATTGAACGGTCAAATAGGTAAGAAATTTAATAAAGTAAATAATTTATTGTACTACCTTTCATTGTAAACAAAAATTTGATAGCATTGTGAAAATATCATTGTGAAAAATTGTTTTGGTAACACCTAGTAGCTAGAAATCTGTTGATTTTTGTCTCTACTCTTAAAACAATAGCTTTTACAAGCAAATTTGTTTGCCATTACCCGATAATCACATTTGAATTCCCAGAGATAAATTATCTCAATCATGAAATAATCAATATGCAGATCTGAATTTGTTAGATATTGAGTAAATAATTTATTACAACCCCACCTTTTTTATTATTCCTTAAGCGGATTTTTGCCGACAAATTTTCCCA